GAAATCCTGGGTACGCCACTGGTATATACATATACTAGCTGGCTTACCCGGCTCCGCCATATGTTCCGAATAGAAAATTCCATTTCTTAACCGATCCGGACCAAACTTACACACATACACTTCGGGCCCCGGCGGGTGTCACAGTCCACTTTTCGTTATCGATTGATGTCGATTTTATCGATTTTTTGCAAAATTTGAGCTAGGGGGCTGGAATTTGGCAGGGGGGTGTAATCGAGCATGCTGATCACCCCCACGGGGGTGATCAGTATGCTCGATTACCCCTCTGTGCCAACTCCCAGCCCCGTAGCTCAAATTTTGCAAAAAATCGATAAAATCGACATCGATCGATGACGAAAAGTAGCCTATGACACCCGCCGGGGCCCGAAGTGTATGTGTGCCAAGTTTGGTCCGGATCGGTTCAGAAATGGAATTTTCTATTCGGAACATACGTAAGCGAAATTACTACTGCGAGATAACGCGCTCCAGTTGCGTCCGGACATCAGGATGTGTCGCCCTCGATCTGCCGCGTATTTCCTGCACGATGCGGGTCGCGTCAAAGCGTTGTCTCGTGCAGCATCGTTCCGACACATAATGCTGTCTCGGGTTCTTCGCGAGGCCGATTACTTGTGTCGCGCCTTCATTCAGCGCTTACACAACACTTTGGGCTGCGCGAGTCAACAGCGAGTGTCTGAGTAAATTTGCCTCTTCTTATACTCTCTTTGGATCAATACCTACCCCTGAAGCAAAGACCTCTTCTTCCTGAAGGAATCGCAGAGTCCGTAAAAGTTGTTCAGACGTCACGTTACCAAAGTGAAATCCTATGTTTCCGAGTTTTTGCCTGTGTTCTTATTGGGAAACACCGCTTGTGCTTAGGCTTACCGGCGATGTTATACGACTTGTTTTTCTCTATTCACAACAGTGTGGCAGCATACCTCGTTTAGTATCCACATTGAAACGGAAACTATCGCTGCGATCCCATGGACGACAGATGAATGTTTGTAGATGAAGATGATTATGTCGTTTTTGTTTGGATTTTTTGGTTTGCGAACCGTTTGTTAGTCCTTTATTATGTTGGCAGATTGTAAGAAGATTTGAATACCCATTTTTTTATACAGGGTGTCCCAAAAGTAAGTACACACTTTTCTATCGCCAATATCTCTCTTCGCAATTCTTCTTTCTTTGCCAGTCAAGTAACATCCTGTAGAGGAGGCTTTAACTTGATTCACAGTATCGATGAAACACGGATCGCTCTTCATTACTATAGGACTATGGTAAGAACTTCCAGCAGGTGGAACCCTTGTGAAATACGACATCCGACAAAATTTTTTTCAAGAAATCTGAAAAATCGTGTACTAGGGTTTTCGCGCACGCTGATTCCACTACACCACTTTTTACGAGTGTTTTCAGCTTTTTCGACGGTATAATCACATTTCTGACAAATACTGGGAATCCGGTTATTACGGTTTAACTGGAATAACTATGGAAAGAAACATCACAGTAAAGTGGAAATTGCATATTCGGAATCAGCGGCTTCCATTACCATAGTATAAGGGCTTTTGGCTTGTTTGGTTTTGTTCCGAGATATAGCTTCCAATGGCCTAAAATCCTTGTCGAGGTACCTACAGTAACCCTACACTATGAAAAGCGATTGGTGATTCGCTCGACACTGCAAATCTAAGTTGAAGCCTCCTCTACAGAATGGTACTTGAATGGCGGAAAAAGGTACAATGAGAAGAGAGATATTAACGATTGAAAAGTGTGTACTTACTTTTGGGACACCCTGTATAAAGGGCTTTTATGGGCTCGTGGCTGGTTGTAGGTCAAGCCTCTCCTCGATTCAGATGCCGGGAGCACTACATGCCGCTGAATCGGGGTATCACATTCGCGCCTGGACCTCTCCTCGCTGGGCGCGTTGCCAAGTCGAGGGTGTACAAGGCCGGGCAACGCGCGTCATATGCCTCTGATTTTCGGTGACCTCGTTTTCAAATTATTTTTTATCTCTCGCGTAACTTCATTGATTGTGCTTGACAGCCCCCAGCAAGCACCCGCGATGAAGTCTTGTTTTAGCGGTGGAGCTAAGCGATTATTAGAACTTGGTTTATATCGCGCTAGCGCAAGAGGAAAGTTGAGATCTCGTGTAAAGATTGAAACCGAGAGCGGAGAGGGCTCGTACCTTTCCTATGCGGAGATGAGTAAGCGGTCGACCCTCGTGGATTTCTCTGACATCATGTATTGGCATCAGTTGGTATTCGTCGACGGCTTGGGACGAGGCGGACTCGTCCCGTATATCTTTTTTCTCTCAGTTCAGGCATTTTCGTAGTTTAGTTTCTTTCGTAGTGTAGTTTGTTGTTATTAAGATAAATGTATGTAATCTAGCCGCGCGTCTTTTTGTCAGGTAGTTTGATGGACGCGCCGGAGTAGCTAACCGGCGCTAAGGTCTGCGGGCAGTAGGTGCAGGGTTGTGCAGGCAGTCGAGCGAGGCAAGGGGGTGCTGAGCCCACTGAGCCGCAACAGTCGCATTTCATGACTCTCTCAATCGAATATTAATTTCTGAATCCTTGCATATTTCTTATTTTGGATTTTATGTTACCCTAAACATGTCGGGATCAAAGCCGTTAAAAAACAAAAAAGCGCTTCTTACGATATTGTAACAATCTTGGCAATATCTCCGAAGGGGAAAGTACCGCACAGCAAAAATCCCAGAATAAGCGAACAGTGACCGAGAAACTTCTACAGAGGAGTGGTTCAAAAGAAGTAAACTCAACATGCGCCTCGCATTCTGCGACAACACCGAATGTTAGCCGTTCGGGAAATTGAGGATGAATTTTGGAGACTGAGAAGAAAGAGAGACACACCACAGTGCTGGCAATATTGTCGCGATCCCCTGGGCGATGAAAATTCGATGAATAGGGATGATTTTGGTGAGGGAAATTCCATGCCTTGCGAAGCAAGCACATTCGCAGCAAGCGCGGCTTGGCATTTTTGGCATTCGTTCCTGCACCTTTGATTGCGCTAAGATTTTGCTGAGTCTGCATTAACTGCAAAAAATTACCTCGACATACTTTGTTGCAATTCTTGCGCTAAGTTTGATCTTTCCTAAAGGGCTAGTTGTTTGAAAAGTTGCGCTCTCAAATTGCGCACTCGTGCCTTACACTTTAGATTTGTTATCGTGATTGATCATTTTATCATTGCTTCATGCTTTCTTGCTTTTGGCGGATTCTACCAGGATTTAATTACCCAAGTTGGACGTATAAACGGCTTTGCGCTTGGCTGCGTTAGTTTAGTTTGTGCGGCACAATGGAGTACCTGTTTGAAAAGTTCGTCGAAATGCAAAGTATAGGAACTTTTTAGTGGAGTCTTGTGAAAATTCGCGTTTTCAGCCCTGTAGTTCCACTCTTTAGAGTACCACGACTCCAAAAACAGGACATTGTAACCTTCAAAAGCAGTGGCCCGGCAGAAGTGAACGTCCGAAATCTTGATGCGGTAAGTTGCTTCCCCCATTTATGAAAGAGGAGCAAGTCCGGCCACACAGCATCTTCTTTCGGCCTAGACTACTCCACTCAGACCCATGCGTAAGTCAGTTATGTGCGCGCTCAGACGAGTTCGAGATTTTCTCTCCCTCTGTTGAAGGGCATGCCGTAATGTTATAACCACAAGGTCCCGCAACGGCTCTGCGTCCCCAACCCTGGTGAGAACTGTTCATTCGTCCACATTAGAGGCAGTGTCCCACCAGGCTGAGGGTATCCGGCTCTCGTAGTAATATAATAGTAAACCCCCTACTCAATCGATGTCTGAAGTTAGGAGCGAAAAAGGGGGTCTACCAAGCCTGAAATTTGCTCCGAAAGTGGCCCGAATCTTACGGTAGGCCCGAATGCCGCGCACACAGCAATATCGATTGCAAGGCCAGAGTGCGTATAGCGCACACAGTCGTGAGCGCAGGGTCCCGCAACGACTCCGCGTCTCTACCTTGCATCCATTTCGTACTCGCCCGAGCCTACCGTAAGATTCGGGCCACTTTCGGAGCAAATTTCAGGTTTGGTAGACCCCCTTTTTCGCGGAACTTCACTCATCGCTTAGGTAGGGGGTCTACTATTACATTACTACGAGAGCCAGATACCCGCAATCTGGTGGGACACTGCCTTTAAGGGCCACGAAAAAAGCTCGTTTTGACATTTTCGCCCGCTCCATAGATTGTTGGGATCAGCGCGTCGGATGACCCCAAGTAAGTCAAAAATTTTTCGCCCTAAGATTTGCCGAGTACTACCTCTGAAGAGAGTGTGTGGGCAACAATTTTAATTAAGCATCCATGTTCAACTATCCATGAATCTTGGCATAGTTGCAATTTTTGCAATCTTCTCGTTAATTGCTCAAGCAATTAACGAGAAAATTTTAATTAACTTCGCTTACAGTCTGTAAGCGAATGTAGGCCGAAGCATTTCACTCTACCGCGCTTACGCTTCATAGGGGATTTGAAAACGCACAGCGATGACAATTTGCCACTTACAAGGAAAGGATACTTGGTGACCCCGGCCATTTGGCATGCAATGTATACCATAAGGTGCACCTCGAAACGCTCATTCTAAATCTATGCTCGAAATCTGCGAAACGATCATATGAAGGTAGTTACGATTCTAAAAATAATTAGAACTCCATCCAGGTTCTCGTTTCGCAGGGAGAACAATATTCGAACCAGCAATAAAAGGCGCATTTTTGATATACAAACCATTACGAATGTCCAGGGTCACCAAGTATCCTTCCCTGTTTAGACGAAAAATGAGAAGGAGGCACGAGTCTATGGCACGAGGACAAATTCTATCCCATAATGTTACCAATCTCTCGCGTCTGAACCTGTACAACATAACACAAATGTACCCGACATGAGATTACACTTTTGAATCTGTCTAACTTTTTCAACACATTTACGTGGCAACGTTCATTCGACATTGTGCAGGCTCACGGAGAACGAACATGTGCTGACATAATACAACATGTTTGTTAATTTATTAAGATCCATAAACATGCGTGTTTACACTCCACAACAAACGAGCATATGTTATAAATAGTTCTGGAAACGCTATAACAAGATGGAACTCGACTAAGTCTAAGCTTCATTATTACATCAGTCGATTTGAAGAAAAGGTCAATTTATCATGACAAAGTAGCAGATTCATAAAATCAAGTAACATACTAGAGATTTATAGAGATTTTTGATCTTTTCTTAAGAACACTCTTCCATACATAAAGCTGCAACAGTACTTAGAGGAGAGCTAAGCAAAGAGCGCGGCGTGTTCAATTTCCTGCAGTACTTAGCCGAAAATTCCACCAGAAAGCGGCATTGGTGATCGGATAATTCTGTCGCTTGTTCGTTTTCCGTAAAGCCCGCCCGAAAATGGCAACGGCTGTGCTCGCTTTCCATACAATCCTGGAAATCTGCAGTTGATCGAACGGTCATCAAGACTCGTTTGTACAAAAATTTACCTCCAGAGAATGGAAGCACAGCCACACGTTTACCGTACAAACCACCGGAGAAAGGCATTGCAGCACGTTTTTCGTATGATCCTGAATCTGAATACTTGCGGATGAATTCGCGATCTGCTTTGCCAAGCAGCACTATTCAAAAACTACCTTCAGGCAGCAACCGCTCATCATCATAATAAGCGCTAGGTTCCGATCGTTTTCCATACAAACCTGGAAGAACTCGACGTAAGATCATGATAATTGATTTTTGCGCCTACCTCCTGAGAACGGCATTGGTGCTCTCTTCCCATATAGCCCACCAGAGAATGGCATCACAGCGCGTTTTCCATACAAACCTGTAACAGAAAGCTCGAGAAAACCACTGAGGTAGTAACTATCTTACCTCCGGAAAATGGCATCGCTGCTCGTTTCAGTTCAAAACGTACATCTCGCGGAAATAACTCTGAAGAATAGTCAAAATATGAAGGAACCATTTCTGGGCTACCCGCCGACTCTATAACATGTATTTTGATTCTGGGATTTGGTTTCGCAATAAACGCAGTATTCAATTAAACCGGAGATATACCAACTCAATGAGTGTCTTCAGAGGAATGGAGAGAATCAGCGAAAAGGACAAACATCATTTGTTTTGTGCTAGTTGTTATGAGAACAGGCTGATCTCTTGCTTTCACAGGTACTCTTTGCAATATGTTCATGTATTTTCTGTATACAAAGTGTCTCAAAAGTCGTTAATACCTCTCTTCCAGTCTATCGCCCACCCTCATGTAACATTTTGCAGAGCTGGCTTCGACTTAGATTCACAGTATGGCGCAGCATCAATCTCTATTAGTTACTGTGAGATTCCGGTAAGAAGTTTGTGGAGAGTTCTGAATATTGAGAGCCATAACTTTTACTCGAAATCACAGAAAAGCTGGAAAGTTTTGCACTAGGTTAATCAAATTGGCTGATTTCAAATATGAGATTTACACTTCGTCGTCAGCGTCATGTAGTAAAATCAGCGAACCTTGTTAGACAATTTCCAGATTTTTTGGAAGTTTTTCTAAAGACAGGCTGCCTCACAGTGGTGCCATTCTACGAATTCCTACAATGCTACAGTAATGAAGAGCTATTGTGGAGCGCAACCCAAATTACCATCACAAATGCAATTGTCGAGCTGCAGGCGAGAGGGCGAAGCCTCGCGGAGTCGGATTGGAAGGTGATCGCTCTGGCAAACGGCCTCCTCTCCCTTGTAGCTGCGCGCTCCAGATCTTGCCTGCTACAGAATGTTATAATCGCATGTCTATATTTATGTTGATCACTTTTTATTTCTTTATTATTGCAGTGCCTCTATAATGTCTAACAGTTGCTTTAAAATCACTTCAATTTTTTTGCAGTACGCATACATTTCATTTGCTTGCTTGTAGTTACTTGTAGAGATAAAAGTGTGGTGATATCCTCCTGGTTCTGTTCTCTAGAGAGTTTCCAAGAGAGTATGCACGAGCTTGAAAAGTGAAACTACATACAAATGGAAGTATTGTCGACGCCCGTTTGTTAATTCAAATCAGAAGTCTACAATACGAAACCGCGGGCGTTATACTACCGGTGATTTGCTCCCTACTGTAAATATAAGTTGGACCCAGTTCTACAGTTATACCTTGAAGTAGACAAAAGATTTCTTGGGAATAGAGGTATTAACGGCCAAACAGTGCACAAACACATACTTTTGGGACACCATGTATAAGTCAGCGGTTGGAGACGACCGTGTCCTTCTATGTTAATTATTTTAGCCTTTTCTCTACATCACTCATTGCACGACAGTTTCTCCGCACTACGACATCAGTATGGGTTCCTTCATACTACGCCGCAGGACGCAGCGTGCGCGGCTTGCGCCGCAGGAATCGCTCTAAAAATATACGTTCACGGCAACGCCCTTTCGCTGGTTATGTATGTATGAACGTGAACGTGCAGGAAATATAGAGATACATACATAACCAGCGAAAAGGCGTTGCCGTGAACGTATATTTCCAGAGCGATTCCTGCGGCGCACGCCGCGCACGCTGCGCCCTGCGGCGTAGTATGAAGGAACTCTATGTACTCATCTCTTTACAGGGGCTAAGAAGTATTTCAAAAATTTGTGGCGAAATTGATTGAAAGGTGTAACGAGCTTTTTGGAATTTTTTTATAAATACCCTAGTTATACCCACTCTGAAAGATGGAAAAATGACTCTTTTGTAACACGCAGGCAAAGAAGTCACCAAATGATGTGCAGATGAGCGGTGAGACAAAGGAACAGAGTCTGAACTTGTATTGAAAATCAATGTAAATGAAGCCTGATTTTGCATAAATTTTGTATAAAACTTCATTTTGTTCCTTTGCACCGCGCAACTACACATCAGTTTTGGTGAGGTATAAATAGTTGGTCCACAATCTACGAATCTGCTCTACACCGAATGTTCACTGTATATAGGGTCTTGACTGCAAAACTCTCTTTTCATAGTTAAAGCCCAAAATAAACCAATGGCCTTTCCTTGCGGAGGAAAGCGCTAATCGAACGACCTGCGCAGAAGCGCTCGAAAGTGAAAGTAATAAAGGTAATTCGTGTACCAGATGTCCATATGCCTCTTCGTGCCGGAACCGGATTACAAATTAGTTCCCTTTTAACTACTGAAAACGATAAGAGCGGGAGTTTGTTTGAGCCAGAAACTGAACTGTACTCCGCCAGACCACCAAATGTATATTCTATCAAAACTTCCAGCGCTCTGCATGCTTTCGCACCACCGTATATCACTGACGACCGGGCGATACCGCCATCAAGGGCGGGGTTTGCCAGTTTACCAAAGCGGCTCGCACTTGGACAGTTGTTTAGTTGAGTTTATGGGAGAAGGGAAAAAGGAGTGGGGAGGGGGGGGGGGGTATACGTTACTGAGAACAAAAAGCCTCAGTTCTGCCTACCTTGATTTCCTTCAGCGTATGCGGCGGCGACGAGAACCAAGAGTGAAGGAACGAGCATTCTGTCTCGTGCGGATTACCTGGAAAGTGTGTATAGAAATTGAAGTCATCATCACTGGAATGGAATCCAACGACGCGATGGAGTAGAAAGGAGAATAAAACAGTGGATTAATTGATCTACTCTTTGTTTCAACCAGACTGGCTGTTGGAAGGCGGGGCTTTATGACCTAGGAAGGACTGCACGCGTCCGCGACGCAGTCTGCGCCCCCCTTGCAAACATGCTCTCTGGTCATTTCCTAGCCTTGATTAGGTCACGAAGCTCCGCCTTCTAGCCGCCGATCTGGTTGAAGCAAAGGGTATAATAAGTCTTAATCCTTCAATAAAAAGTGAGAGAACTCAAGATTTAATATGGAGCCCGTGGCATGAGAACTGCTTTTTTTCCGAAAGAAAACATGTACTGATTGTATAAGCTGTATCATCCACGATCGATCGCAGAAGCCCATGAGATGAGGCTGCGCACGCTCGTCGCATGCAACGGAAATGGAACTCGAGCGAGGAAGCTGGCCCTTTGTTCAGGTCTATGACGCAGTTTATCCTGTGCTTGTCTTTTTCCCTATCCGAGTTTCGTTTTTGTTCTCGCTCGTCTTGAGAGGACACACCATTTTGAAGACTATGTATGGAGACTTGTCAGGTAGAGGTAAAGTCAAGCTCTGTTTTCTCTGAGCGTAGAAGTTGACGATGACCCATTCTAGAAACAGGAGAGTCAGGAACGCTTCGCACAGGTGTAATTAACTCATCCATACTTTTTCTATATCGCATGTAACACACTCTTGAACATGAAGGAAATGTACGTTGACAAATAGTGTATGCGATGCGTTCTCGGCCTTCAACTAACAAACGATATGATAGAGTCGACTTTTAACCGCAGCTCACAATTCTAATGATATTAGCAGCAGAGAAAGCAAGGAGATCAAGCGGTGCTGCCGCTACATTATCTAATATATGAAAAAGATGTTATCTACTCCCGCATGCATTCAAAACTAAAAATGAAGGTTTGTACGTAAATGAAAGTCTCCATATAGATGATTAAGAAACATATGGTACAAGACATGACTCGCAGAGCCGCACTGACCATTAGACGCTTTCGCGCTCGAGTACCATTTTCGCTGCCTCCGCCGCGCGAGCGAAGGCTCATCCCGTGGGTTCTTACGACCGGTGGTGGGTGATACAGTCTATAAATCGCAAAAAAAACCGTTTCCTCCTGTATACAGGGTACGCTCGGATCATGATGCAAGAGAGCATGATAGCCCCCCTGGAATCTTTTATGGTTTCATTCGCAGCCCAATAATCAAAGCCTAAACTCTAGCCAGATAGTACTCTTATACTCTTTCTGAAAGAGTTAATCAGCCTTTTCAAGTACGGCAGTACGGTTTAAGTTTAGGAGGTTTAAGTTTTTAGGTTTTTTAAGAGTTTTTCAAAGGTATAGGACTTTGGATGAGATATTTGGGGCCCTCCCGAGATTGGGGAAATTTTGAAATTAGCTTACACAAGTTCAAAATGCGCAGATGATTTGTTTAAAGTTGTAAATGGTTGAACAATTCTTGACTTTTGGAAATTCAAACTAACCATAAGATTTTTTTCAATTCGAAATTGCGGCGCAGCGAAAAATGCAGAAAGCTTCACGTATTTTTACAAGTTAATGGGTGTGGCTGACGTCACGTTGCGTACCCCCCCCCCCCCTTCGCTTCCCTCCCCCATTCTCCCTCCCCACCCATTTCTATGGCCATGTAAAATGAACCTAGGGAAGTATGATGTGGATTTTATGAAAAGTATAATTATGAGTACATGCATATGAGTATGAGTGCAGTATATTAGGTAGTATGAAAGTAGGACATCATCAAACACCTTCACCTTATCTTTTGCAAGAACGTCACTATCAAGGAGTGAAAATCCAAAGAAACTGAATTACAATCATAACTACAAATAAAATTATTACGTTGTTGCAAAAATAATGTCCTTTCAAATAATGCGACTTTCAGTTTAAAGGGCTGTAACTTTATCCAGTCTTCATATTTTTGTATGCAATTAAGACAATCAGAAGCAGCAAACCTTTCGTAACCTAAAGCTCACCTGCATATAACCTTTGATTCAAATGCCTCGGCGGCTGGAAGGCGGGGCTTCGTGACCTGACCAAGGCTAGATAATGATCAGAAAGCACCGCGCGAGAGATACGCAAGCTGCGTCGTGGGCGCGAGTGCCCTTAATTAGGTCACAAAGCCCCACCTTCCAGCCGCCAAGCTAGTTGAATGAAAGGTTAGTGATTCGCAAACGGGAGAAAAGCACGCGTCAAAAAACCGAACGTTTTTCTTTTAAAACCTCGTCTTTGAGAGATTACAAGTCTTTGAAAGTTTCCAATAGTATACTTTGTATAAAAAAGCCTTCAACGAAGGGGGCCCCTCGAAAAGAAAAGATGGACATCGAAAATTGTGCACTCTTTTGAGCCTATTTGTGGTAGGCCAGAAGGCCCCAAACTATGGAAATTTGGAATTCTTCATGCACTGATTAGAAAACTTTTTCTGCGAAAATTGTAGGCAAGATGTCCTGGCCTCAAGCATACAGAAATGAGCGGAGCTTCGGCGATTGCCTTAATTATGAGAAAATTTTGGACCCATAGAATGCCAGCAGCGAGTATCTATTTCGGGGCGTCGATTTCTCAGTCCGGATACATTCGAAAAATTCATTTAAACATGCAATAGGTAAACAATAAACATCTCATACAGTATCTATATTTCCAAAAGAAACAAGTTCATTTGCGCCTGAACTGTGGCCAAGGAAGTTAAAGCAACGAAATTTCGATTCTGAGTGCAGCTGTGCGAGATGCTGGTGAAATTCACACGGATGAGATAGAAGCTCAATTTCACCAATGTTAGAAAGTACATAAAGAAAGCTTTCCAGTGACATGCAGAATCTAAATCGAAAAAAAAATTGAAGGAAGAAAGTTGTTGGGAAAGTAGGCCTAGAAAAATGGACATTATTTTTGCAACAGCCCAACACAATCATAATCACACAATAAATCAAATTGGAAACACTTATAGACTACTGCTAGGCGGAGCCCAACTGAACAATTCGGGTGCGGCGCGGCGCGCCGCGGTTATTGTGCGCCGCCCGCTTCCTACAGGTGACGAAACCGCATTCGTCCCGTAGTACTGCGTGCGAACGCGTCATTTCGACAGTGGCCCTTGGGATTTATCAATTGTTCTAGTCACAACCGATTAATATACAGTTGAGTAGGTTTCTTTGCTAATGCGGACAAGTGCACATGTTCCAGGATGTTGACTAAGAAAAGCAGATCAAAGATGGAGAAGTGCGTCATATGCCCCCATTGCGCCTGAGCAAGAATACAAAGAAGAAAGTAGTCAGTGGGAACCAAATATGTTTCCTCGCGTCATCCAGTTGAGGTGCAATTGCACACATATGTCGAAATTGGCACAACTATAAACGGCACCAGGAGATAACGACTTTTACCGTTGACCGGTCGCAGTGCACTTTAAGCATCCTATGTGGCATCCTTATTTCTAATTTGTTGACTTTATTCATTTTCGATTTTTTTTATACAATAGAAATATCTATTCTGGGACTAGGATACTCGAGAACGCTTTTGCACGATGTTCAACAAATTTGAACATGTTTTCTCACGAGCGGCAATTTATTCAAGGCAAGTTAAAGCGCAAGTATAAACGTGTTATTCAGACGTACCCAAAACGTCCCTGAGTATCCTGTATATTCATGGACTAGGAGACGCGAGACCGCATTGCACACATTGTCTAAACAAGCCTAATTGTGTGCTTAGCGGGTTCATACTTGTCATTTATCTCGTCTAAGTTTATGCAGTTTTTGGAAACAGGGAAGAACAAACTCAAACCTGTTAAGACAATGTCCGCAATGCGGTCTGGCGTCTCCTAGACAAGGAATAGATGATACATCACAACTGCTATTGTGCTGGTAAATACTCAATTTTATTTGAATAGAATTCTTTTGATGGAGAAGCTCGCATCAGTGAACAGTTAATGTCAATTACGTACTCCCTTTCGCATGGGGACTACCATGCGCAACGCAAAGGCCCCCTGCGTGCGGACCTCCAATCGATGATGCCCATTTGAATGCCCGAGTCATACGCGCGCGAACGTGACGCGAAGCTTGTTGAGTTTACGGAAAAGGGATCATGTAACTGACGCTGACTATAAGTGCGCACTTTAAATGAAATGATATTTTCGCAAAAAATAGAATAAAAGGAAAAAATGATGTCATATTGCCTGAAAACCCTCCCTCTCACTTGCTCTAAGGATTAGATTGAATGGAAGTTAGTGCACGGTTCATCAAGCAGCTTTTTACGTCAAGAATCTAATCGTCCAAGACACTTGAGGAAGTACCTGAATAACATAGCATCACCTAATGAAAAGTGACATCTTATATAGTAGTAAGCAAGTGCACGGGATCTCGGGCGGAAAAAAGAGGTCAAGAAGTTTGGCGCACTCTTCGCATTTATTGTGGTCAAATGAGATTTTGACATGAAAACATGATTTTGACTATATTTCAAAGAAGACCAATAAGCACTGAAAAGTGCTGCAGGAATAAGCTCATTTGTAGCAATTTGCTCAACTTCTCTCAAAGCTATTAGTTTTGACGAAAGTAGCAATAAAAAGCACTTGGGTGCAGATGTAAGTGACATTTCACAAAATTCCAATTAAGATGCAAAGAACAATCTCAGCCAATATTGACTCGAAAAAGAAGCGAATAGTTATATCTTTCTGGAATTTTATGCAGTTGCCAGAGACTTTTCGCTTGTTTTTGTAATTTTCCAGAACTTTAAGGAATAGAATCCAACTGTTCAGAAAATCGGGGCTTTTGAAGATGATGATTGAAGATGATCCCGTGTGCAGCTCATTTCAGCACCATCATCTCATCGTCTAAATTTTGGCTGCAGAGAATTTTGAATGTAGCAAAATAGTTATAGTAATAAGCGAGTGAAGATTATTACCACTTTCTACCAAATTTTTTCAGACTTACCAAACAGCTTAAACTAA